TCAACACTTCCAGCACGGTGTTACGCCCGCGTTCTCATACGTGATGTCATTTCGGTCATGATCACGGGTGTTGCAGGTGTTTTTCAACCATGTTCCCATTGTTACCATTCACGCTCAACAGTTAATGACTATGAGATACTGAGAAGCTGATATAGCGGAGACTTTACCGTTAGGATGATAATTACAAATCGTGATTATTGAAACCGTTGATAGTATGAGTTGACAGGAGATTAGAAGCTAATGTGAAAGCAATTACGCTCCTTGGGTATAAGAGACACGGCGTCAGTATTGATTTATTGAGTCCTCCTCTTTTTACGTTAAGAATGAGTCTTGTGGAATGGTTACTGGCGGAGTGGTAACTGAATAGTCATTTTTTGTTACTGATTGGTTACTCCATTATTGGTTGCTGAATTGGTTACCGATTGGTTACTGAATTGTTACTGATTACGTCATGATTACGTCATGAATGGTTAATAGATGGTTATTAAACAGTTAAAAACTAGCTCATAGATCTACTTTAATATAACTCCTTATACCTGTTTTGGCTTACGAAAAGAGTTTTGATCATTTTATAGCGTTATCATCTCTTAAATTCCTGACCTTAGTACCAAAACCCAGTTTCCCTGACAAAGTAAGATTCCCTATATGGAAGGAAAATTCTAGCAATCTTTACAAACAAATCATTTGAATAACAGAAGAAAGACGTATTAATAAAATTATACATATTCAAGGGTATTATAACACATACTTCAGCTTCAGATAGTCTGCGGAAACAGAACTTTATAATCATAATGTTATATCATGCTTTTCTTCATTGTAAAATTCTAACGTGACCATGCGTATGTCTTTTATGGGACCCCTAATCTTAACGTGTTCAAACAAATTTTAAATAATATTTTTAATCTGTCGTGTCACCAGATACGTATCAGATACGTATCAGCTACGTACCAGAAACGTACCAGATACGTATCAGCTGCGTACCAGATACGTACCCGATACGTACCAGATACGTACCAGATACGTACCAGACAAGCATCTGATTAGTATCAGAAAGTCTCAATCAAAAGTAGGAATATAATACATATTTCAATGCCGGCGATCATCTTTTACTAACTTTATTATAGCACATTGACCAAAACCCATAATCATGGGTAGAGTGTACCGCTGCCAGTGTTTCTCTTTTCCAAACAAAAGGAAATGATATTAATTTGAATAACCGTCCGAAAATGCAAATTGATACCGAGAATGAAATCGGTTGCTCGCTTTTTCCATTCGATCACGGCTTACGAATTGTAATATAAAGCTTATTGATTGGAAAAAGCGAGCGACCGATTTCATTCTCGGTATCAATTTGCATTTTCGGACGGTTATTCAAATTAATATCATTTCCTTTTGTTTGGAAAAGAGAGACACTGGCAGCGGTACACTCTACCCATGATTATGGGTTTTGGTCAAATATCATCTCTTTTTGATTATAATGTCAGGATAATTTACAAAGCCGAAATGTAAACTCATAACTTCATTAATATTTATATTAATAATTACTCAATTAGGAGGTAATTTCATCGATTTCGAAATTTTACCTGACTGAATATGGCACTTTTTACTTATTCAAGTTGGCATTAAATTCATATATAATGCCATTTAAATATCGTGGGAAAGCAGAATTTATTCGAAATCACGAATGAGCAAAATTCTCACCTTTCGCACGTGCAAACTTTGAGCGGACGTTGCGTGCGGATACAATATTGAATCACCGTAAATTTTTGCATAGCATTATTTTATATATAGTTTAATAAGCATGCAAAGTTTCAGAAGATTTCATATAGAACTTGGATCACAACGAGACTGCAAAGTTGATAAAAATGGTGAAAACAGCAATTTTCAGTAATTTTAGCAATTTTCTATCAAATTGGGCGTGTCCCCACGTGTGCAACTTTTTGATTTTCAACTTTAAAACTAGCCTATAACACAATTTAGACCTTTAAAAAGCAAAATTGAGCTCTTCAACCCAAGGGATGGCCCAACACCAGAGAATACTAATTCACAACTTTTGTGTTTTTATAAAATTATTCTTCAAAAAAGCACTAACTTCAATAGCGAATATCTTTATGAAGGAGCAAAGTAAGAAACTTTTCCGGTAGATTTTCAGAATGCTTGAACAATTATCTAAGATGAAAATGTCCTCAGATTTTGAATAAAATTACTCCTTAATGTTTTAAAATCGATTTGAAAAGTTATTATTTTGTCAAAAATCAAGTTTTAAAAACACTTAACTTGATGACGTCATCAAGTGATGATGATGACGTTAAATTATTTTTCGATATAGTGTAAACTAAAGTATGAATGATTATCTTTAAAACCTGTGGTTCGAAATGACTGTATCTTTCATACTTTTGAATCTACGGACACTTAAATGTAGGCTACAATTGACTGCAAAAAGCGTCTATATATATCACAGTGCTGGCAAGCACGACCGTTGCATTTATTGTGGGTATACTATGTTCCCCATTTACTATTATACCCCCTTTACTATTATACCCCCTTTACTATTATAACCCCTTTACACCCCCTTTGGTACACGTTACAAGCCTCTTTAGTGCACGCGAAGCGTGCACTCCGGCCGAAGGCCGCCGCCTCCGGCAGGAGTTTTCCAGGCATTAAGACTCATCGGAAGTCGTTCAGCAGAATTATTTTTAGTTCAAAACATTCTAATTTGATGTCAAAGATGACAGGAATAAAAAATAGTTATGTTGAGATTTTTAAGAAATTTGCATAAAATACTCGCCAGCACTGTTATACGAAATTCGGTAAAAAACCCAAAATCGCCATATTCAGGTGCCTTAAAAACCACGTTAAAATTGAGTTAGAGATCTGAAATTTTTCAGGGCGTCTAGACGTTGACCAAATCGACTGCAAAAAAAGTTTCAGGTTTCAGGAGCATCGGGAAATGGGTTTTCTAGAACCCCTGTTTTACGACAGATTGTCGTGATATATACATACATAATATATATTCAGGGATAGACGCTTTGCCAGTCAATTGTAGCCTTTATTTAAGTGTCCATAGATTCAAAAGTATAAAAGATAAAGCCATTTCCGACCACAGGTCTTGCAAATAATTGTTTACACTTTAGTTTACATTGTATAAAAAAATTATTTGACGTCAGAAACACCCCTTGATGACGTCATCAAGTTAACCGTTTTTAAAACTTGATTTTTGACAAAGTAATAACTTTTAAAATTAATTTTAAACCATTAAGGAGTAATTTTATTCATAATCTGAGGAATTTTTTACCTTAGATAATTGTTCAAGCATTCTGAAAATCTACCGGAAAGTTTTTCTAGCTTGCTCCTTCATAAAGATATTCGTCATTGAAGTTTGTGCTTTTTTGAAGAATTATTTTATAAAAACGTCAATTTTGCGATTTAGTATTCTCTGGTGTTGGGCCATGCCTTGGGTTGTGGAGCTCAGTTCTGCTTCCTATAGGTATAAATTGTGCATTAGGCTAGTTTTAAAGTTGAAAATCGAAAAGTTGCACACGTGGGGACACGCCCAAATTGATAGAAAATTGCTAAAATCACTAAAAATTGCTGTTTTCGTCATTTTCTGTCAACTTTAGAGTGCTGTTGTGATTACAGTTCTTCTTGAAATACTTTCAAACTTTTCATGCTTATCAAGCTATATATAAAACAATTACATGCAAAAATTTACGGCGATTCAATATTGGATGCGCACGCAACGTCCGCTCAAAGTTTGCACGAGCGAAAGGTGAGAATTTTGCTCATTCGTGATTTCCAACAAATTCTGCTTTGCCACGACAGTTTAATGTCATTATATATGAATTTAATGCCAACTGGAATGAGTATTAGGTGGCATATTCAGTCAGTGATCGACCGATATGCTTACCTAAACACAAGGAAATGTTTTTAAAGGAAAATTTCGAAATCGTTGTAACTTCCTCCTTATTAATTAATGAAGATATCAGTTTATATTTCGACTTTATAAAGTACCCTGACATTATAATCAAAAAGAGATGATATTTTACCAAAACCCATAATCATGGGTAGAGTGGACCGCTGCCAGTGTCTCTCTTTCCCAAACAAAAGGAAATGATATTAATTTGATTGACCGTTCTCAAATGCAAAATGATACCGAGAATGAAATCGGTCGCTCGCTTTTCCCATTCATTTACAATTGTAATAGATTAAGAAGAACTACCCAAAGGCAGCTGTACTCGGCAATCAGCAATGAAGATTCAATAAACTTCAGCTTGTTCAATAAGTAATAACTACCACCCTTGTCCCTTACCCCGAAATACTAGGTATCGACCCGAACGCAACCCAAAGAGATTTTTACAGCATCTGATTGATGTAATCAATCGAAACTTATTTATACAATTCGTAAGCCGTGAATGAATGGGAAAAGCGAGCGACCGATTTCATTCTCGGTATCATTTTGCATTTGAGAACGGTCAATCAAATTAATATCATTTCCTTTTGTTTGGGAAAGAGAGACACTGGCAGCGGTCCACTCTACCCATGATTATGGGTTTTGGTAAAATATATATATATACTTCACGACAATCTGTTGTAAAACAGGGGTTCCAGAAAACCCACTTCCCGATACTCCTGAAACACGAAATTTTTTTACAGTCGATTTGGACAAGGTCTAGACGCCTTGCAAAGTTTCAGATCTCTAACTCAATTTTAACATGGTTTTTAAGGCACCTGAATATGGCGATTTTGGGTTTTTTACCTAATTTCGTATAACATGCTGGCGCGTATTTTGCGCAAATTTCTTAAAAACCTCCACATAACTATTTCTTATTCCTGTCATCTTTAACATTGAATTAGAATGTTTTGAACTTAAATTTACCTGCTGAACTACTTTCGATGAGTCTTAATGCCTGGAAAACAATAAAGGGGATATACTAGTATAGGGGGTAAATAGTATTGTGAATATAAGGGCGACGGTAATGCTTGCCAGCATTGTGATTACGATTGGCAAAGTCCCTATATTTCACATAATACTACCGTTAAATCTGCTCTAGTGCTATCTACTTCTAAAAGCATCTCTCGGCAAATTCCTTCGTTCGTCTTCAACTGTTATCGCACCTATCATTAAAAAGTATTTCGTGTCTTTTTGAACACTTTATCCTGAAAAAAAATCGGAAGCGTTTTACTTTTGTAAATCGTATCAGAGATCTGTTATACGATATGATTTAATGCAAAATAACAAATTACCAAATTTAATCTTTACACCTCAGTTACTTATATTCTTCTAAAATACTCACTTCTAAAGAAGTTCACTTCTAAAATACTCACTAAAAAAATAAACCGCGTTTAACCAGCTTATGGTTTTTACGTGCTTTTCTTCTGAGTCTACCGGTATGTTGAACTGGCTTCACCTGAAGTTGGCCCAAAACATCAACACCATTTCCTACTTTCCTAGCTGCACTGATCTTTCCACAACCAATATCATGTCTTCGATAGAAAAACAATCCTGTAAATAGTTTGATGAAATATTTTGAACAATGGAAGAACTATAAATACATATAATTATGTATAATTATGTATAATTATCGCAGGAAATTGGCTCCATTATCACGTGATCACATGGTCAACCATCACATTATCTCCCATAAAGTGCTCACATTTAAAATAGTGGGTAGCCTCGTTGGAGAGTTGCACGGACCACTATTGACAATAATGGCGTATTATGCACCTTAAGGGGGGGGGGGGGTTCACCCTGATTTTTTGTGAAACTTGGTTGGGGGTTCCGGACCCCAACCGCCAAACGGTGCCTGCGGGGCAGCCACGCCCATATTTGGTCCAAATCAGGCCCAATTTAGCCAAATACCCTGAACATGCCCAAACCCCAGATTTTAGGTGCTCTACTTGTAGCTAGTGGTCCCTTAAACTCGTATATGAATTTTCATCAAGATTGGACAAAAATGACTGAGTTATAAGCTAAAAACTATATGCCCATATTTGGGCATACGCACTAAATTTGATCGATTTTGGCCCATAAATTGGTCAAATATCAATATTTTTGAATGAAATTAACTTTATATGAAAGGTAAGCCTAAACTACACATTCTCTATGATTATCAGCTCAATATCTACCTAACTGTGGATTCTGTGTTCAAATAATCGCAAAAAATGAACAAAATCGCCCATATCTCAGTTCGCGATATTTGCAAAAGTGACTTTGCTCAAAACAATAGAACTCAATAGGGTTTCAATATTTTTTCATGAAATTTTCAGAATCAACGTAGAATCGCCTCATGACCTTAAGTTTTGTATTAGAATTTTGAGTTAGGCCCTTTAAAAAATTTGGCGGCCAAATTCTGAAAAATGCCCGGCAAATTTTGGAATTTGGCCGGGCATAAAATCTGGGTTTTGGGCATGTTCAGGGTATTTGGCTAAATTGGGCCTGATTTGGACCAAATATGGGCGTGGCTGCCCCGCGGGCAGCCACGCCCATATTTGGGGTCCGGAACCCCCTTAAAAGTTTGGTCACTGGTCTTAGTTTGTTGGTCAACTGCTATCTCGAAACCAAGTTTCACAAAAAATCAGGGTGAACCCCCCCCCCCCCCCCCCCCCTTAAAAACTCCATTCTTAGCTTACAAGGGTGACATTCACATGGTATGCAACAGCTGCAGCTATACTAGTACTCTAGATTTAGGCGCAGCTGCTAAGTTTCCGGTGGCGTGGAGCCAACCTTTTGCACAGTAGCGGCAGCAAATAACGGCGGCGCTCATGTCAGCCGACAGTTATAATGATTGATGTGCAACATATCTACACGTCTAATGTTCTAGAGAACTAGAATAAATGTGTAAACATGAACATTACTGGTGTAATACACCTCCCATTTTAACCACACACCACCGTTAAAATTGAAGCGTTGGACAATATACTGACATCTTTAGCACAGCTAAAGTGGGCTCAATAAATACACACATGTCTGCAGTAAGGGAATCTACGTGCATGTTGCAGGATCACACTTACCTAAAGGATCAAGATTTTTGCAGTTTCTACGGTAGTTTTTAGGACGTAGACGTTGTTCTCCAAGGTCAGAAATGTCAACTGGAAAGCTCACAAGGATAGTAATGAAGCTTATAAGTAAGAGCATTGATTTTATCATTTCTTTTTTCTTTGGAACACTAAATTACAAAAGTCATAGTCAATATACTAGTACTTATTCATGCATAAATGAATTAATGCTTTTCATGCAAACAAGTGAAAACGAATCTTTTATGTCATGTATACTGGGTTTGGACAGGATATGCCCGCTTAAAGAACTTCCATCGCGTTACATTACATAATTTTCTGAAACATATATTACATTTACAATAAATTATGCAATATCAGTATCACAACATTACATTCAACAAAATAAATTTAATCGCAGAATCTCAAATACAAATAATCGTAAATTAAACACAAAAAACAAATTAAACAAGCAATAAATGAATATACAATTACAAATGCGCATCCTTTGACAACTTACTCCTTCATAAAATTAATTTGATAATATATAAGTATAATATTTCTATAATCTATATCATATTTTAAACTTGACGAAATCTCCCCGGCAACGGGATAAAAACAAAAAAATTGCCCAAAAAGTGACCCTCTGTTGAAAACTATTTCAGCTCGCAAATTATCTGGCAAGCTATTTTTCATGCAAAGCATTCTTATCAAGCTTCTTGCAGTTGCATATATTCTTGAGCAAGTCGAGTAACTGACTACCAAGCTAAGCAGGGTAACTCGCAAATTGAGTTGAAAATTCGTGATTTTTAGCAGGGTTATACTTATAGAAAAAGGAAATGCAAAGGACATAGCTTAGCAAGCATTTTTAGAATTAACGGGTGATGCTCGTAAAATATTTGTTCCAAATGTTATTCCAAGATTGAAGACCGTCGACGAGTCCAACTCGGCGCGCGTCTTAGTACTTGGTAGGTTATAAACCTACAAGGTAACTACTGTTAGTGCTACAACCAATAACGTGTTTAGTACGAGACACGAGTATTCAGCATGTTTGGGTACTGTTAAACACAACTTTAATATTTCCACACTAACGGCCAGTCAAAACAAAACATTATGCTGTGGTTCATTTGCCGGATCATGTTAATGTTATACTTTATTATTTTCATGTATCCATCTTTAACTATTAACCATGAAAAATGGAATTCGCAGCCGGGTATAGCGTTTGATAAATCTAAAAACATTAAACTGTAAATAATTACTGGGGACTATAATAATACACGTAAATTTAAAACATTTCCCTAGACGTATAGTCAGCACACAGTAATCAGTCGTCAGTAGTCACTAGTCATTTTGTAAATTAATTGCAATGCATATAATTATATTATGTATATTAAATACGCGTAGTGCGTACGGACGAGTTTTGCTAAGTTTTGTGATTGAGTAAGATTCGGAATGAGCTGTGATATAGAATTGTAAATTGTGATAATTATAATAGGTCTTTAAAATGCAGTGGATGGAAATTTAGCATCCGCCTACATGGCCTTATAAGCTTATAACGGGCGCAATTCTTGTTATGCCTTATATAATTATATATATAAGGCATCGTTTGCCAAATAACTATAATATTATCTTTATATGCTTGACATACGTTGCATGCCACTTTTCGGTAGAAAGATGCTATATCACAAAAGTTGTAGCTTTAATTTCCATTCCTCTCTAAGTCTACCCAATTCTGGGTTTTGGTGAAAATATCATATTTTTTTTATTAATGTCATATTATATAGGAGTATATTTTATTTTTGATATAAAAGTAAATTGCAATATTTTGCACCTCTAAGAGAAATAAAACTCAATATTCAATGTAACTTTTTAAAACTATGGTCATTAATTTAACAAACAAAAACATTTCTTTAAGACGAGTGTCATTAACATAATATGGTTTTTAAAGCTTCGGTTACTAAAAAGTATAAACGTCTGTTCATGTACTTATTTGTAAGAAGAATATTGGGCCATCATGAACTCATTCCGTGCAACAGAATTCGGAAAGTACCTCACAGAATCCTTTCACCTTCGAAATCCTCCTGAAAAGAAGTCCTAGTCATCACCTCCCGTCTCCTACTCATCGTCATTAACTCATCTCCATGACTTTTTTACCCGTATTTAAATTATTATATTCGATTTTTTTCCATGAAATTGTAACGTGGTTAATTTTTAAGATTTTATTTTTATAGCATTCTCTCGTTTTTTAGAGTTCTGATCGTCTTTATGAATTGCTGTATTACGAAGACGAGTTCGTTAGTGTTCTCCTTGGTCATTTCATGTTTAATTCCTTTACAAGTTCATGTGACCTTGAGAGTTGCACAGTACTCGTTAAGTGAACATTATCGTAAAATCAGAATAAAAATCTGAACAAGTACTTCCTTCTTAACCCCCTTTACTTAATATGTTAATACATACCCCTTCCGTCAGTCAACGAGGGGGTATAGAGTGTGACTGATTTAATCAGTTGGTCAACAGAGTTCAGTTCACCGAAGTACTAATATTAAGGAAATTAGCGAAGTTCTATATTGCTAATAAAATTGATTTGAAGCAACAATTATTGATGAATGGAAGGCTATATCTTTTCAGCTATTCAGTTCACGAACGAACGGTTCGGTTTGAGGAATATTTTCACAGCGCCAGTGGTACTGCTATAACATAACTTTTGCTTTTTACTCTGTACGTGTAATTGAGTTAATAAAAGTCTGCCGGTAAAAAAATTAACAAATTTGAACTCTAATCTTATCAACGTTGCTGTGTAGTGATAATTTGTGTTTTATTGAGCCTTTATCGTCCTCTTTCCTAGATTTCTTAATTATAAAAGTCGGAACTCGGAAGTATGTAGAGGGTTAATTTGTACGGAACTCATTTCACCGAATCACCCCTATTCGATGGAAAAGGTGCTTGGAAGGACGGTAGAGTGAGCAGCGATTGGTGCTCATATTAAAGGTTAGATCAAGGCTCCGATTATTAATCACAAATGATAAGATACCGCGTCTACTAAACCACCGTTTTAACCGAACAGCACCTGGCGCAATTACCAATTTGCAGTCTTAATCAGCAAAAGTATTGTTCTATTGCCAAGAATTGGTAATCATCTGCAAGAGTCGAGATCCTTAGTATTTAGGAACCAATCCACAAAATAACCGGTAATTTAGAGATAAGAGAATAGCAGTCACACAATTTCTGCCTGATTAGCTAATCTGCAGGTACTATTTAGCAAATATGTCGCCTAACTGCCTGTGTTCATGTTCAAGAGAGCTGTACGTGCTTTTCCCAAACTCTTTAGCAAATATGTCGCCTAACTGCCTGTGTTCATGTTCAAGAGAGCTGTACGTGCTTTTCCCAAACTCTTTAGCAAATATGTCGCCTAACTGCCTGTGTTGTTCAAAAGAGCTGTACGTGCTTTTCCCAAACTCTTTTATGTCTGGTAAATATGTCAACAAAAGGGAGGGGGGCGAAAGTCAATACACATACGTTGAGGCTTATTATTCAGTCGCTGAGCGCCCTATAATTGTTATAATTCTTTCTAGTATGACGTGCTATTATCGTTATAGTTCGAAGATTATATCAATATTGGTGTTCATTTTTTTTAAAATGAACATTTTATATATATACAAGTGACAATCAATATAACAGCACTGATTTCACCTACTGCACGATTTCATTGTTTGTCTAGTAGTGATCAAGTTTATGCCTAGACTCTAGTGGCCAATTGCTAATGTCTAGTGGTCAAGTTTTATATGTCTAGTGGTCAACTTTATGTCTATAGTGGTCAAGTTTTAGGCTAACAAGGTTACGTCAGCAGGCGAGTGGGTTAAGAAATTCTTATGAAAGTGGATTTCTAGAAACCACTTTTCTCCTTGGTTCATGCTGGGAACTTCTTTTCTTCACGTTTCATGCTACCCTGATGCTATTGCAAGGGCAATTTATAATCGTGACTTAAGTTCGTTAAATGTGAAATTTTTATAAGTTGGTAAAATGGAGTACGCTTGAATTTGACAAAAGTCCTTACTTTTGATTATACATCGTGCAACACAAATTGATTCATGGACAATCACAGTGCTGGCAAGCACGAGCGGTGTCTTTATTGGGGGTATACTATGTACCCCCTTTACTATTCTATCCCCTTTACTATTATACCCCCTTTACACCCCCTTTGGTACACGTCGGAAGCCTCTTTCGTGCACGCGAAGCGTGCACTCCGGCCGGAGGCGGCGGCCGAAGGCCGACGCCTCCGGCAGGAGTTTTTCAGGCATTAAGACTCATCGGAAGTCGTTCAGCAGATTTATTTTTAGTTCAAAATATTCTAATTTGATGTCAAAGATGTCAGAAATAAGAAATAGTTATGTTGAGATTTTTAAAAATTTGCATAAAATACTCGCCAGCACTGTTATACGAAATTCGGTAAAAAACCCGAAATCGCCATATTCAGGTGCCTTAAAAACCATGTTAAAATTGAGTTAGAGATCTGAAACTTTGCAGGGCGTCTAGACGTTGACCTAATCGACTGTAAAAAAAGTTTCAAGTTTCAGGAGCATCGGGAAATTGGTTTTCTAGAACCCCTGTTTTACGACAGATTGTCGTGATATATACATACATATATATATACTTATATACATATATATATTCAGGGATAGACGCTTTGCCAGTGAATTATAGCCTGTATTTAAGTGTCCGTAGATTCTAAAGTATAAAAGATACAGCCATTTCGGACCACAGGTCTTGAAGATAATTGTTTAGACTTTAGTTAACATTATGTTAAAAAGTAATTCAACGTCATCATCACCACTTGATGACGTCATCAAGTTAACCATTTTTAAAACTTGATTTTTCACAAAGTAATCATTTTTCAAATCGATTTTACGCCATTAAGGAGTAATTTTATTCAAAATTTGAGGGCATATTGAAGTTAGATAATTGTTTAAGCATTCTGAAAATCTACCGGAAAGTTTTTCTAGCTTGCTCCTTCATAAAGATATTCGCTATTGAAGTTAGTGCTTTTTTAAAGAATAATTTTATAAAAACGCTAATTTTACGTTCTAGTATTCTCTGGTGTTGCACCATCCCTTGGGTTGTGGAGCTCAATTTTGCTTCCTAAAGCTCTAAATTGTGTCATAGGCTAGTTTTAAAGTTGAAAATCGAAAAGTTGCACACGTGGGGACACGCCCAAATTGATAGAAAATTGCTAAAATCACTGAAAATTGCTGTTTTCACCAATTTCCGTCAACTTTGGAGTACCGTTGTGATTACAGTTCTTCTTAAAATACTTTGAAACTTTGCATGCTTATCAAACTATATATAAAACACCATCATGCAAAAATTTACGGTGATTCAATATTGGATGCGCACGCAACTTCCGCTCAAGGTTTGCACGTGCGAAAGGTTAAAATTTTGCTCATTCGTGATTTTGAACAAATTCTGCTTTGCCA